TTGCAATCTGCTACAGCACACGCTTGTTCTGTGATCGTCCTGCATAGTGGGGCTCAGGGGGCGGAGCTTGGAATTGTGACATAGAAAATCTCACTGTGTCTGAACCTGCTGTTTGGGTCTGCCAGAGATTCACAGTGATTTGAATGCAGAAATACTCAGAAATGCAATTTCGCACTTATTTTTCTCATGATATGTCCCGTTGCATCAGAAAAAAATGCCATATGAATGTATAAAAAACAAGAAAAATATGATTTTCATTGGAGTGGGTCTTCAAGGCAAAAGGTTTTTCAAACGTTTCTGAACTGAATCATAATCTTTTCAAAACACCAGAGTCTAAACTTTGAGAGGACAGCTGTGAAACAAACCTAAATATAGATTAGATAAAAAGGTGAGTGAAAAGGAGTTAATGTTCACGTCACTTATTTTAGAGGAATCACCAGCTGAAACTAAGCAAACGTATGTGAACCAGGACTTGTGGTCAAAATCCAAGCATTTGTAAAAACATGTAAATGCCACTCTAACTAGGTTGATATGATTAATGTACAGATCAGGAAATAAATGGCATATGAATTGAAGTCTTGTCAGTGGTGGATAAGTTGTGTGATTTACATGGGTTTTGATGTCACTCGTAGATATGCCCTTTGGTAGCTCACATTGGGCCAGAGCTTGCCCATTTATCACACATAAATGGTTGTCACAGCTAGATTCTCTGCTCATTCAACATGGTGAATCCTTGTCAACTCACTAACGGATGGGTGGGAGGGATGGAGGGTTGGGCGGTGGGACTGAGCAGACAGAATGGTGGCCGGGAACCCAAGGGGGTCTGTTGGTTTACATCCCTCACAAAATACATAATGCTTTCTCAATCCAGATGATTCAGATTTTAATGTTGTAGTATTTGTTTGGATGTAGAGCCATTTAAAATGTAATATATTTAAGTAAGAATTTTAAACCTACTCAAATCTTTAATAGTATTTCCAGGCAATTTAGAGCGGATGTGTCAAAGGGCGCTGAACTCCATACGGCCCCTCAACTTAGCATTTGTCAGGCCAATTTGCCGAGATCCGTGTGCAGCTTGCAGAAAAAATTAGCGAGTCTTCAGCTTCTTAGACTTTGGCGTGTTGAGACAATCTTTTATTCTGCTGTAGCCTCCAGGGCAGCAGACTGCCAGCATCATCTCATGCTGCCTTCACTGACACTCGTACAGCCAAGACGCATTCAGTGGCATCTGAGTTTCAAATAACCAACAAATTACCTATCAAATTACATCAATGCTGTACTCTTACACTCAGTTTGTTTCATGTTGCAGCCAAGTGCACTGAAGCTCACTCATAATTTGCTTTTTACTCTCAGTACAGATTGTTTAAAGCTTGTTTTTGTTGAATTTACTGTTACTGGCTGTTACAAAACTACAATCACAGGAGCTGCTAATCTGACACCATGTCCTGTAGTTAACACTCTTCTTCCAGCCAATACAGAGAGATATCAATCCACTTTAATGATACAATGACATATGTGAGGCAGTTTCAGAGCCAATGACGCGGTCATTCATTTAGTCTCTATCAGCCCTGAGCCCAAAGAGTGTATCCTCCATCTTCTGAGTCTCTCACATGTGCTGGAAATATTGCTGTTCTTACCGGCTCTTACCCCCAGGTCAGGAGTAAAACTTGCAGAAGCAAAAATTTTTTAAAGGGACCTTGCTGTTTTAAGTTTTAGCAACAGAAAATGGATGATAGAAAAGGCAAAAAAAGAGAAATGTGTTGTGTGGTATATAAGAAAAAGACACCCGGAGATGACATGGACAAGACAAAAGGCCTTTGAGAAACACTGGGTCCCTATTCAAGCTGCCTGGGGTAGGTAGGGCTGTCTTCTGAATATTCTGCAGGTCAGGATTAATGATGCAGTGAGACTTTTATTGAGGCCCCAAGACCAGAGGAAAGCTGAAGAATATGGAGGCAAAAGGAGAAGGTTCTTCTCTGATATTTCAGGTAAAGAACAGGGACCCTCTGCTGCTGTGGATGTTTCAGAAGTAAGTTTTTATTGATGGATAATGATTCATTATATTCCTGCTTTAATGCTGAATATTTTAATATAAAAATGAATACCCTAAACACTCATACATCTCCAATTTAAGCAGTACTCTGATATACTCTTCGATATTTGTTGGTGTATCTCTTCACAGTCGACTACAAGAAACTACATGTTATTCTTAGACATCCTGTTAGTCTTGTTGGTCTGGCCGGATATTTTTATCAACATTACTCCTGGTGTTTTCTTTTACAAGCCTTCAAAGACAAAACATTTCCTGGTATGGATCACCCGTTCCCTGCACCGATCACTAGTGCTTCCCTCTCAAACAAAATTCAGGTAGAACATGTACTTTCTCCTTTGCCAACATGCACCAAATCTTCATATATTGGGAACACCAAACTAATTGTTATGAGGTTTGAGCAAAATATTTCGAAAAAGAAAAACTGCCTTGAAATACTTTTGCTTTTACGACTTCAACTACTACTATACTTCTAGCACTACTACTTCTATTACGAGTTCGCCATGGTTTGCTGATTCTTTCGAAGGGATGAAGGGGTGCCAACCTGATTAATACCAAGTATTAGAGTAACCATATCCTGAATCCCCCAAAAGAGGACACGACTACGTGGGGACGGAGTCACTGAGATGCACAAGGTTAACTCTGAGAGTTTTTCAGGTCGGATCGAGTGTCTTTTACACACTTCTAACTCAATGAGTCCACGTGACTCAAACTGCGGACATTTGAAGGATTTTATCAAATTTCCCAGACAAAGCTGGACAAGTCTGGACAGCCCTCCAAAAAGACGACATTTCCTGGTAAAAGAGGACATATGGTCACCCTATCAAGTATAGTTCAAACAAACAAACTGGGTATAGTCATGATTGTTAACCAGCTAACCTTAAACCACTCCCTGCCCACAAACTCACAATAAAAACTCCCTTTTGTCTGCTACACTCCAACAGTGAAAGGCCCCAGGTTCTCGCCTCATAACAGGACCCTGAATCACCAGTCAGTTTTTCCTCCTTTGTTGTCCCCCAGTTGTGGACTAAATTGCCAAACCCTGTTAAGTCATCAGAGTACCTTCCAACCCCTACTAAAAAAACTGAAGAACTACCTCTTCGGGGCACACCTGCACTCTTCGTAGTTTGATGCTGAAGTTGATGTTGATGGTGATACCATTGATGGAGATGATTTTGAGGAGGCCCAGATGCTGACAGCCTCCAGTATAGATACTTTCTCAGTCAAAGAAGAAGCTACAAAGAACAACACAAGGCAGTAGAGAACTATGTGTCTGTATTGTCTCTGTAAAAGTAGGCCAACCTATTATTCAATAAGACTTGAAAGATAACTAGGAAGGGCCCAATCACAGGAAGAGGAAGAAGCTTTATTCCTTTAATATTGTCTTTGTGGATTTTTGAGAAAGAGGAGATTTAGTACTGTTACCAAACATCAAAGAATTGAATGATAATCAAACCAAAGACATCAAAGCCAATACCATAAACTTTATTAGCTTGCGACTGATCTAAACAGCTCCCTCAAAGGTCAATGTTACCTCCCAAAAAAACTGCGACTGTGCTGAGATTAAATGAAAATATCATGAGCTGTTGCATTGCAAACTATCAGATAAAAGCTGCTCAAGCTCAATTCATGCACAAGGCTCAATGTCTCTCTGTTGCACCTAGACTATTCCCTGGGTCTTTCCTCTCAGTCTTACTGACTCTAATGTTAAGCCGAGTACATCTCAGTGGAGAAGCCTCTGTGTAGTCAGCCAGGCTAACCTGGCTTTTCCAGTTTTCTACAGCTCTGCAACTTTGACTTTTTTTATTTTGCACTTTTCAGCAAATCTTGTCAATAAAAAAAACATATTGACTTAGATCTGTACTTCCAAAATGTGTATTAACCTTTATTCTCAGCTTTCATGCTGTACTTGAGAAGTAATCAGTGCAGCAACATGTGCTTTTTAACACATTGCTCTTTCAAAACAATATTGCAGCATTTTTACTTAAACATATTTCAGTATTACTGTTATTGTTGCTTATTTTGTCAAATTTAGAAGCATTTTGACAATCAAGACTATATGAACTTGAAGAAAATGTCTGGGTCTTGTATTTGTTAGAGGATTTCTTTTAGAGGGTAAAAAATTCACATGTGCTAAAATCGCCTCAGGGTCAACCACAGGGTCCGGCTTTGTTGTCTTTCTCTTCTGCCTCTTTTTAAAACTATTTTTTTTATGTTGAAACAGCAAATGAAAGCTGAAGGATTTACTATTCTTCTCTATTCTTCTCTCCTTTTCTGTCTTTCTCTCTCTTTTCCCTCCTCCCCTCACATTCACATTAGAGTCCTCCTCAAAGCTGTTACACCAGTTTAACAAATCTTTCAACCACAGATCAGAGCCTGACACACCTACCTACCTCTCTCTCTCTCTTTTACTCTGTCTCACTCTGTCTCTGTATCTCATCATGAGCTGAACAAACATCTAAAGTCGGGACTGTAAAGACGAGAGACAGAAGAAAAGGAGAAAACTTAACAAAGGTAGGGAGGAGATTACTTTGAACAAGTACTGCAGACAGTTGCAACAGCTTTACCGTAATACTCAAAGTTTTTTCAGACCTGCGTTGTTGTTTTAACTCCCGGTTATCCTAAATACTTTTCAAAATAAAATGTATGAATCCAGGACTTATAATTAAACCAGATATCATGACAAAGCTACAACATCTGCAAAACAGAAACTTCAAAATTAAAATGTCAAGCAGTCATAAAAAGAAGTTTCACTTACCAACTGATAGAAACACATTTTAGACACTACTCAGAAAGTTCCCCCACTTCTTCTACTTTATCTAAAGATACAGTAAAGCACTTATGAATGGAGCTGCATCTTTACAACAGAGAACACAAAGTCAACTAATAATCAATTCATTATTTTCACAATCTCACTTTCAATCTGTGCTGTTTTCCTTTCTTTTGAAGTATGGGCTCTAACCACAGCAGCGACAAGCTTCACTGTAACCGCTATCTTGATGGGCAGGGTCCTCCATCACTGGTGCAACAAGGTCCTTCACCGACTTCCTTCTCTATACCTGAAAAGTTGATGATCTTTCATTGGTCCTAACTTTGGCTAAAACTGGTTTGCTGTCTGTGCAGCTAATGATGAGGTGAATAGGGTTCAAGGAGGACCGCACAACAGCCAGCCAGAGGGCCAGATGACCTGGGTGGTCCTCCACAGAGACCTGCCAGGGTTCCCTGATGATAACACGATACAGATCAGCTACATTTTTCCAGATGGGATACAGACAGTAAGGATCACATCTTTTTAATGATTTTGTGTATGAGAATATTTTAACAAATAAGAGTCAGTAATCGGATTAATTCATTGTAAAAGCACAGGCATTATTAAAGCCGTACATATCCTCAAGACAACGTACTTCAACTTTCACATACAAAGGTCAGATGCGGTCTTTGTAAGGATGTAAACAACCTCATCAGATAATTGAGTTACAATAGCTAAGCGTGTACTTTGCATAAAAGAACCTGAAGGCGCTCCAAGTAGAGCACCCATTTCTTTTGGGACACAACATTCCTGCTGCTGAAGCTGATGATCCGGTTAGTCTGGTTCACAGAGGTACAAGCCGGGAGCTGACTTTCATAACCACGTAACCGGCACGGATTTCAAACCAAGATTTATCAGAAAGAGGAGATTTGATTGGCATCTCTCCAAGGGTTGTAACTCCATATATTTTAGATATTAGGTAACATCAACTAAACTAAATGTCATGACCTTTATTTAGTTGAAAACACGACAAAGACAAGATATTTAGGGCCTGATCTACTCAAGGTTTGCGTGTGTGTGCCTTTTACGCAGTTGCTGGCTTCCCCAAAAGGATAGGTGCAACTCCATGGCTTCAAACTTCATTTTTCATCCATGACCACTCTGCTCTCCCAAACTCTCCATGGTGATGGCCGATATCAGACCCTTAATGTTCAAACTGATAAAATTTACTGTTTCTTTTTCTTTTTTTTTGCAACTATTCTCTCATTTTGAATTTGATGTTGTAACACATTCCAAAAGAGCTGGGACAGAGTCACATGTACCGCTGTGTTACATCACTTTTGCTTTAAACGACATTCGATAAGTGTTTGGGATCCGAGGACTCTAACTCCTTTGGCGTACAACTTTAGTTGCTCAACAGTCCGAGTGCTTGGGTGCTTTTCCCATCACTTAAATCACATTTACATTTCCTACAGCAGAATATTATCACTCCTGGGGCCCCCAGCAGTCTTTCATATTTATTGTTCAACCTTGAAAAAAGTTACATTATTGGGAGGAAACTACTCATCCTCCTAGTGTGTTAGTAGTAGATGAAAATTGGAATAGCGTTCCTTGCTCTTGTTCTGAAACTCAACTTCCTTGTTGCAGGACAAACATCCTCACCCTGGTCAACCATATACAGGACTTCGCCTCCTTGCGTACGTGCCTGATTGCCGAGAAGGAAAGAAAGTCCTGAAATTACTGGAAAAAGCCTTCGACCAGCAGCTCCTATTTACTGTGGCCACCAACGAAGATGGAAAAGATGTGGTTACTACAGCCTCAATCCCCCTAAAAACACAACAAGATGGAGGAAGCACAGTGTGAGTATACTGTATATTGTAACCATCATATTACTGAAGTATTCAATCCTTTTCACACACAGAAGTGAGGTACCCAAAAACATGGTAAAGGCAACACAAAATCAAGGTGACCAGAACGGTTAAATTTTTTTTTTTAATGGTTAAAATACTATTTCTTGAAGGAGGTGAATATATGTTGTCCAGGCAGGACTCATTCATATCTGACACCCGTCACTGCTAGCACAGACGCCTGGCTAAAATGTGTCTGTTGTACCTCACTGATGAAACACTGACTTTTTAAATGTGTCTTCTTCCAGTGGAGGCTACCCGGACCCTGAGTACCTGAAGACTGTGAAGCAGCTACTGAAAGACGAAGGCATTGAATGATTCATAATGTCATCCTTACCTGATTATCATAGCTTTGATTGTTTTTTTTAATCACTTTTAAATGTATTTATTTTATCATGTTTCAGTTGTAATGCCAGGTGGTGTCGTTTGTGCAATAACATATTCTTGTTGTCAATAAGTGTATTGTCACAAGAATAAACACTTTTTCAGAAAAGTGCACTTACACAGATTTTGTTGAATGATTATTACATGTGGTGGTGTTGTTGATTAAATGTTGTCTTCAGATGCGGATTTACACAAACAAACAGAGTTATTATCATTCAGGGGTGCAAACAAGATTGTAAGGCTGAGACGATATGCTTTTCTCCCAATTCGATTCTTCTACGATTTTTTGGATGCCGATTCGATTTAAATTGCGATTTTACTATATTGTCAATTTTCTCGATCTTTAGTCTGCATTTTTTACACCAGTGAAACAGTTGAATGATTATGATTGTCTACTGATTATTCCAGGAACCATATTTCTCCCAAAAATACACATCACATGTAAGTCAGTTTTTAAGATTTATTCTTAAATTTGAAAAAAAAAAAAAATCGATTTTTGAACATAAAAATCAAACCCGTAAATGCCTTTTGTATCAAATTCGACAAATACTTTTATGATATTACAAAAAAAAACTGAGTACAGTCCAATAAATGATAAAAATGTCCTCTTGTAGTTTATCAGTTTCTATAAACATCTAATGTATCAAACGAGATAAATAAATATATTTGTTAAATTTTAAGGACATTTTGATTTTTTTTTTTGGTTTTTAGTAGTAAGTGAAATAAAAATTTCAGCTCCAAAAAAATTTGTATTTTCTGGCCATAATTTGTGGTTTCAGCTATTTAAGGGCTACCAATCATAAAACAAAAAATCGCGATACTAGTGTGAATCGTTTTTACTCCCACCCCTTCAAGATAGTGTCTTTAGAGTGTTCAAAGTACGCTGTGATTGGTGAGGGACTGGGACAGGGCTCAGGGCTCTGAGTTGGTAGTTGTGAATTACAGTAAGATGTTATATTGGCCTCTGTGACTGCCTGGGGTCCATCACTGAGGAAGCCATATATCCGGTGAATGAAAAGTGAGGGTATATTGGAGTTTTCTGATCATCTAGTGCCGCTGAACTGTGTTATAAGAAGAACCGGTTACAGTAAGTAATTGGACACTCTCAGTCAGGGGTAGTATAACGTCATTTCCTGTGTTGATGTGAAGGCTAATTTTTGAATGAATTGACAAGTCCTAGCAATTTTGATTTATCCTGAGTGAAATGCAAATACCTTTCAGCTGATTTAATCAGCTAAGTTTAACAGTGGTTTGCAGTTGAGAGACAAAAGGGGCTCCACTGCCGAGTATGAAGCAGGTGGGAAGAAATCCACAGTTTATTGGTCTTATTTCTCCCTGCTAGCTTCATGCCTTACCTAAAGCCTCGCTAGCCCCCTTATTGGTCCATATTGCCAAGTGTGAACTTTTCCAGTTTAATGCAGGCCTGATGTTCTCTTCAAACTGAATTACAGCCAGGTCCTTGCACTCACAATAAAGTATAATCTCATTTGGGAGGCCTCTGTCATCCAGGAGCCTCTTAAACCACTTTCTCCTGGACGCTCACACAAACACTCATCTGTCCACCACTGGCAGGTCACACTGCCTGTCAAATCTGTCTTCACAGCCACACACATACATACACACACACACACACACACACACACACACACACACACACACACACACACACACACACCAAAGTGACACATAAGGTTGTAGTATTGCTCGTAGCTCCAGGGGCAGCTATATACCCAATCCTGGTCTATTCAACTGAGGGTAGAGGAGGCTCAGGTTTTTATGTACTGGTACTATAAGTCTAGTCATTTACTCAGCTTTTTTTTTTTTTTCTTTAATGTTAGTCTGTTAAAAAGAATTATCTCTGTGATATCAAGAATATTTGGAAAAAACATAAGAAACACTCAAAGGTATTCTTGGCGCCAGCGTTCGTCTTCTTATTCTGTCATCACTGTCCTTTTGTTCGTGGTGATAAATGGTCCACAGCAGTGTTTCATTAAGCTCTTTAATTTGGCCCACAATTAGAGTCCATCTATTTCAGGAGACAAAGCAGATTGTGTGGCCCTGTTATTACTTGGAAATGGTGGATGTCCGGGATGAACGTGAAGTAGATATCCATCTTTTCTGCCAAAGAGAGTAAGACAGACAGAGAGACAGACAAATACATAGATATATAGATTCGTTCCAACATTCCCTGTCATTCCTCTTTTAACAGAGGAAATGAAGGACTGAAAGCCAAAGACCTTTAGAGGTACACTGTTAAAATACATATCTTAACACTTCTTTTAAATTCATCTGTCACTCTTTATCCTTCAGTAATCAGCTTTTTCCTGCCCTTCCTACTCATCATCACAATGCTATCAGAGCAAAGGCCACAAGCAGCCAGACACTCGCCTCCCCCTGTGCTCTCACTTTATCCCTCCACAAAGACTTGACAATGGCCTATGTAGACATATTGTACAGTGAGGTTTGTCACAGCCATGCTGAGGGTGTGTGAGCATTTACGACTTCTGACTCCGCCTGATCTCCTGTTGTGTGATAGGATCTCTGACCCTCTTTCCCTCCAAGCATTCCCGGTGCCAAAGATGAAGAAGTGTGATAGCCTATACATATGAGAATGTCATAATGTCTGCCATCTCCTCCGTCTTCATCGCTATTCAGAGAGCATGAATGAGTTTAAAAATGCAGACTCCCTCTGGATATATCCATTCATCCTGGGTGAGGAGGTGGATGTGCTCTCTGTGGATCTAAAGGGGGGAGGAGGTCTTTGAGTGTTTGTAAAGAAGAAAAATCCTAAATCTGACATTCACTCTCTTTTAACCACTTTAAGATATTTAATGTCAAAGCTGGTTTAAACATCTCTCTGAATAATGTTAAGTTTGCCTGCATACATCAGCAAAAATTAGTATTTAAAATCAATATTGTGGCATGTCTTTAATAACATGTACTTTATTCTCAAAACCAGCTATCTATAAATTCATCCATTTCAAGCACTTCCCCAAGGACGATTTATTTTGCAGCATATAAACAGGCACGGAAAAGATGGCTACTGTTATCAGTTATTAAAAAAATACTCAAAACCAACATTGTTCTTAAAATTATCTTGTCAGATTATTTTGTGGCATGAGGTGTATGAAGAGTGATTGATGAAATTTGATTGCAGCCGCCTCAACCCCCATAATTTTCCCCACATCCAGAACGGCTACGAAAAGGCCGTATCCACTGATCGTAGTTGATCGTAACCATTCAAGTTAATGTGTCGATTTCCACCGGCTTCTTTCGCTGCAGATCACTTCTGGAAGGACACAATCTACTGCTGTTATGGTTAGCCTCTGTGGCTAAGAGACGACTTGTTATCGCACAATTTCACGTGAATCCGCAGGTTCTTGTGAGTTTTCACGATTACCACTGTTCGTAATCCGCCATGAAATTCGCCTCTCAAACGGATGCAGAAGGAATTCGCAGACAGTGAAAATTGCCGCCTTTCCAGATCGGAGAAGTTCCGGATGCAGTGAAAATTGGGGGTTAACCTGGAATCGTGGATAAATATTAAACATGTTCAATATTTACAACCTGAAATCCTTATGGATAGAGGGATTCCCGAAGATGACCAATCGTCCATTGTCACGTTAAATAAGTGGATAACCTGCCTGGAAGCGAGCCGGCCAAAGCAGGATGCACAACAAATGCAACCATGGCAACGATATTAAATGCGATGGCTATCTCCTATAGTCTGCCTGGTTTTTCCTCCCCTAAAATTTCCAGTTATGAGAGTCTAACACAGTCCTAAAAAATAAAGTTAAAAGCTAGTAAAGTTGAGTTTCTAAAGGTTCCTGGAATGGACAACAAGTCTGTTTGGTCTGGACCATGTCAGAGTCTTGGGGATATGGGACTTCAGGGAACCAAGTGTGCCCTTCCACAGTTTGATCGTCTGAAAGGATAAATTCACTCAAAAGGATAAATAAAGAAAGAGAAAAGGCAGATCAAATATAGTATGACGTGTGCTGTTTATAGATTATTGATCCTGCTGTTTGAGGCTTTTTTCCAGCTGTTGGTGTCCACATAGTGATATGACTGGCTCACAGTAATACAAATATTCCAGATCTTGGCAGTAATAGCCTGAAAGCTCTTGTTGCTTTAGAGTTTTAGTTTGTAGCTACATGAGGTTTGATTTTAGATTGTCTACTGACTGTGTATCCACTGGAGGCGCGGTTCTCCACTTTTGCCTTGAACTTGTGCCTCAGGGTCGATGTGATGTGTCTAGATCTTTGTATAGATAGATGTGTGGTCATGTTCTGCCTCTCAACTGCACTCCTGCACCCTCCCATTCAGTGATTAATGGTCTTTTATTTGACAAATCACCCCTACGGCTCGAAAAAAGGGGGGCAGCTAGGCAGACAACAGCTGCCGGAAAATCAATGCCGCAAGGTTTCTCTTTCACCCTCGGTGGAGTATTTTCTCAGAACCCAGTTTTTACACTAAGTTCATTTTCATTTTGGATCATTGTCGAGCTGTATTTGTCAGTTTAGACTCACAACTGTATAAGGGTGTCAGAAAACAATGTCTCTAAAACTGAATTAAAAGGAGCTTACTTTGGAAATTAAAAAGAACGAGTAACAAGCACTATTTAATGTTACCTTTTTTCTGCATTAATAAGACAAACTGAGAATTTTAAAAAGCCCTTATCAGTTGTTAAGTATCTCTCTTATTCTCGAAATTTAGTACATTCTTGTTGTATCAACGAGTCTAACAGTAGACCCAGTTTTACTCTCTGATGGCAGACCCCTTTAGGACTACATCTCAAATACTGGTGCAACTTGTTTTTGTATTTTGCACTAATCTAATTGCTCATTAAAACTCTTCTGAAAGTACTTCAGTGGGTTCTCGTCTATTTGGCAGAGAGCACCATCATCTGGTGTTGCTGGCAGGTGGATCTGGAA